GAAAAGCCTAGTGCTTTCTCGTTCTCCTGCCTGTTGCTCTCTTCAGATTAACGGAGAGGCAGTGGAGCAGATAGAACAGTTCAAGTTCCTCGGAACTGTATTTCTTAGTGATGGAAAATTGAGGGAAGAGATCGACCGGCGAATTGGAGTAGCCAGTGGCATTCTACGTGAACTAGCCCGACTCACTGTGACTGAAGCATAGCTGAGTCTGAAAACTAAGCTCTCGCTGTTCAATATGGTCTTTATCCCCTTGCTTATCTACGGTCATGAATCGTGAACTACTACTTAATAACTTCGAATGTGGTGCAGGCTCCTGAAAGGGGCTTTCTTTTACGAGTCGCTGGCCGTACGCGTCTCGACATGGTCGGGAATAGTGACATCCGGAAGAACCTTCGTATGCAGCCTTTGCTTCTCCAGATTGAGAAGTCACAGCTGCGGTGGCTTTAGCATGTGTTGCGAATGCCTCCAGAAAGGAAGGCTAAGCATCTGTTCCTTACAAATCTGACCGGCAGAAGCCCCAAGGGACGGCCAGGATTAACCTGGTGAAAATATATGGAAGGAGTCTGTTCCAGACTCCAGTTGTCTTTTGCCGAAGCTCAGACCGGCACAGGATCAGGAACGTTGGAAGCTCTGTCTGACGCGTCTGCCTCCACGACCCGAAAGGATAATCGGCGATGGTAGATGCTGTAGATGATCCCGCGACTCATGATCATAAGTGAACATGGGGATGTGTATCGCCTGGAACGCCGATAGCTTCATCTTCAGACTCAGCTCTTGTTTAGTCACAGGAGTTCGGGCTAATTCACGCAGAACGCCCGTGGCTACCTTTCCCCGATCTTTTCCAATTTCCGCTACGAGGAAACGCGGCCTCGTGGAGATTGAACTAATCCACCTGCCCTACTGCTGCTCCATTTATCTGCCGAGAGCATCGGGCACGAGTCAGAGAAAGCACAGGGTTTTTCGTTTTAGATACGTTCACACACATGCCGGCCACGTCGCTCGCGGTGGCGAACCTTTCCGAGTAGAACGCTGTACATCAGTTTGAAAAAATGCCAATAAACACGGTCGTCTGCAGACAATAACTTTCTCTTCTCGATCCCTCCTACAGCGATACACTGATGGTCTCGGCTGTGCCTGACTATATTTTCAGTGTCAAAGTTTTGCAGTTTCTGTGATTTCATCCACTTCATCCTGTAATATACGTTGTATGCCTCTTTTCGGACGATCTGTCCTGCGGTAATTGGGGATTAAGGAGTTTTTTAAAATACTATATCTCTGAACTGTATCTTCTTCCTTGATAAGGATGCTTCCATATTTTTTCATTACTCTGAGTCCCTTCTTTTGTCTCGCAGGCGGTGAATGGTGTACCAGAATACCAAGCTTGCCGTCTGGAAACTCGACTCGAACATTTCACCGAGCTTCTATCGTGTGCATCTTAGCTTTTACCACTACATTTGCTGCTACCTTTCGCGCTTCTACAAATCGCCCGCAAATTGAAGGTTCTTTCCTTCCATGCTGTTTAGTGAAAGCGTCCTTTTCACTGGCAGTCAGTATTGCCTTTCGTGTCCATGAGCAACTTCATTCCTGATCTGCATGCTTCAGGCCAACTTATTTGAATCCGCAGCATTCGACTTCAGTTTCGAGTGCGCGCTGTTAAAGGGCTCTCACTCCGTTTCCACATCAGTGGTCATCACCGGGATATGTTCAGGCCATCGTGGGATGTTGTTTGCATGTTCTGATCTCGTATCTGCGGATGATAATGTTTTCAGTTTGATTCTTTGATCTCTTTTGCAATCAGATCTTCATATGGTACTGCATTTTTTACATTGTAGCGTGCCAGTAACAAGGTGGTGATCGGTTGATAGCTCTGCGTCCCTCCTAACGCGAATGCGCCTCTTGTAACTGTTAAAAGTTATTCCTTACATTTTGTGCCATTTAAACCGCATTATAGTCTAAGCTAACGTTTTAGTACACCCTGTCTTTTGTTTGTCTTTCTTTTAAACAACTGTCTCAATGCCGTACAACAGCACTGACTTGAAAAACGCAAAGTACGGCTGAGTTTTCGTCGAACTGGATACTTTTTTCTCAACCCAAATATTGAACATGTTGCGAAAAGCATTGGAGGCAGTGGCGATCTTACGTTTAACACTTTTTGAATGATGCCGTCGCTGGAAATGATTTCGTTGAAATACTTAAGCTGGCCAGCTTCCACTACCGTTGCGGCTTTCTGTTTCACTTGTAGATCATATGTGCCAAAAGAGTCGATGCTGGTTCTCCTGTATGGTTTATATTTACGTTTGTATGAACCTCCTTTTTCTTTTTTTGCAATCTGCCTTTGTTGACCTACCCGCCGATTTCGATTTCCACGGGTTTATAAAGTAGGCGATATCCGTCAGCGACTTTAAATGCGGAAATTACGTCTAGAAAAAGTAGCGAAACGGATTATGTGTTTCCCATTTTCTGTGAAATGTGTGACTTCTTTTGATCTAATGCTGTACTGCGGACATGCAGCATTTTTTGCCTCGGCCTTTATTTTCGCGTCGACAGTAAGTAGTTGGTTGGGTTATTATGTTATGTTAGCTTTTTTAATGTCCGTACTGAACTGACTAACTGACTTACGGTCCAGTGAAGTAGCATGTGCTTCTTATACTGCTGCGACTTTAGCTCGATTGTTTGCGGGACTGCGATTAATGGTTTTTGCGCGAGCATTTCTAGTTTAGATTTGCATTTATGCATAAACTAATGGCTAATTTATTATTAGATAATATTTCTAACCGTTACAGTAGAAGGTGTGTTCTGACGCAACGGTAATTCGTAGAACTCATGTTTTTATGTTGGTGCTTTCAGGTCGGTATTTGTTCTTCAATGCGATTGCGAATCATTTGCGATACCCGAATAGTCATACGCATTACTTCAGCTGTACCATTCTCTATCTGTTTGCTGAAGCGAATTCAGAAGCTATCCAAGAACAGATTACTCGGTACGTCAACAGTATGGAAAATTGTGTGTGCTGTTAAATTAAAGTCAAGCGAATCAGTTGGTGGCACAGGCGTCATAATGAATTAAGTTTTCAGCAGAAGGTGATTTCTCAGACTTGATGTCATGTTGATCGGTTCTTTTCATTATGTAGACTTACTTCTTACTAGTTACTGATTTAGTTTACTGCTGAAAATAGCGAAAACTTAACGCTTGCCTACTCCACGCTGATCTAGTGACTTCATGTAAATTCATTGTTTGCTCTCAGATAGGTTAAAGGTTATTTTTTTCTTTTGACTCGTACCATTAGTCGCGTCATTAATTAATTTTTTAAGAATTCTGTTCGAAAGGTTGGTAGCCTTAAGACCACACCCTTGGGGTTTGTTGATCACGTTTATTGAGCTGATCAAAAATCCGGTGTTCAAATTTTGGAGTCATCAGTTCGTTCGATGTGCCCCTGAAATCGAAAAGTATGTCATATTTTATTGTTTTTAGTAACTACTTTATAACTAGTATTACTTGTCGATTCAGGTTGTTCGAGAGCGTCGCCCGTTCTTGCACTGCAAAGAACCTCGCCGAAAATTCATAAACCGTTTTGGTCGATTTCGCACTTGCGCCTGTTTTGCCTTGTAGTTAGTCGGTAGGTTTTCCTTATACTTGCCTGCGGACTGTAACTGGCAAACTGAAACGGAAGAAAATATAACCCCCGCAGACTTACTGCGAAACTAAACGAGGCGCTGTTTAGCTTGTAATTTGAACTACACTCGTTGAGATGGCGATCCCGTTGTGTTTATCCATTTGTCTGTACACTGTATACTAGATTTTTTATTCGTTCACAGTTTGAAGTTTCTATTTTTATATGATTCTGTTACGTTGAGCTGATTTGCCTTGACAAGTAAAATGGTGTCATTCAGTGGATGTCAGTTTGTAAATTTTGCGTCCATGCATTGGTTAAACGCATTTGCATGATGACGTTACCATGCTCTTGCTGCGTAATTTTTGTGAATTTCTGGCGCCAGGTAGACTACAGGCTGTCTTTCCTGTGATCATGAAGGGTAAAGTATCCGTTAAAGGTGCTACCGCTGTCATTTTTGTTGTAGCAGATTTGCCTCAGTTCATTTTTCTCTATAAAATCTAATAGGAAAATGAGTCTGTGCTTCTCAGTCATCCCGTTGGTTTGAAAATGTTGAAACTCCCAAAATCCAAAATTAAGCGCCTACCTATTGAACAATGAATGCAACATAGATAGCGCCATTTATTACCCTGAATTTCCCAATTCTGTCAGTCTGAACAAGGGAAGCTACTTCGAAACTAGAAACAGCTTACTTGAGTATCATTGTGTACTCGAACGGCGAAAGCACTGATGAAATTAATCGGAGGCAGAAACTAGATTATCACAATTAAAACAAACTAGTCATTTCATATGGCAAGAAAGAAATTGACTGGCAAAATCATTTAAATTACAATAAGTCGTCGTTTGTGTTGATTTCCTAGTACAGTAGAAGCATGGGTTAAGTCATTTTTCAAAGAGGAATACGCTCAACTGGTGGAAATTTGGCAGCCGATTAAAAAAAAATATCTAGCCCAGATGAATGACCAATAAGCAGTTTCTTCAATGAAGTTTGGTGTTTAAGTAAAGATGTAGTTTTGAACTACCAACCTTGTATGGAAATATTGAATGTTTCAGAAACAGAAAATATTGCAACTCGCCCAGTTCAAATGCAATCTACATAGAACTACTAGAAGATATGCCCTACCTTGGAATGCAACTACTTTGGAATATCATTCACGTCATTTAAATAATGGACTTGTTTAAAACATGCACCAATTATTCCAGATAATCCCGTTGAATTACAAAAGAATTAATCATCTTAATGATGACATTTTGATGGCCATCGAAGCAATAGTAGCAGCATCTAACCATGCGTAAAAAACAGTCTAAAGAAAAACAGGTTGTTTTCAATTGGCTGATAAAGCACTGATCAAAACATTACTCCATTTGCTGGAGATGTAAAATCGAGATCTGAGGGCGTTATTTCTCGCGTCAATCAACCTTTATCTCTTTAGACCGCGTAGTTCCGAAAAAGACAGTCAAAGATGGCTATTCGCATCTTTCATGGCCGCTTCTCTATTCCGGTCGCGGAGGCAGACGCGTCACACACTTCTGTTCCCCATCCTGTGCCAGAGGCTGAGCATCCACAAAAGTCAACTGGAGTCCGGAAAAGACTCCTTCCATATATTTGCACAAGGTTATTCTTGGCCTTCCCCTGGGCCTTCTGCCAGTCCGTTTGGAATGAAAGTGTTGCTTAGACTTTCTTTCTGGAGGCGTTTGCAACATATGCCCAAACCATCGCAGCTGTGACTTCTCAATCTGGAGAAGCAAAGGCTCCATTCCAAGGCTCGGAAGAATGTCACTATTCCGGACCATGTCGAGACGCGTAAGGCCAGCGATTCGTCTAAAAAAGCCCATTTCACGAGCATCTGCCCGTTCGAAGCTTTTCAGTCGTGGTCCAAGACCCATGACCATAGGTAAGCATGGCGACAAAGATCTAGTTGAAACCGAATGCTTACTTTTCAGATTGGGCTCCGCTTTACTCACAACGGCTCGGGTTACTTCACCTGAAACGCAACTGGCTACCCTAATTCGCAGGTCAGTTTCTTCCTCCAATTTTCCATCACCACTAAATACGATTTCGAGGTACTTGAACTTCTCCAGCAGTTCCACTGACTTTCCGTTAATCTGAAGAGAGCAACGGGCAGAAAAATAAGAAAGCACCAGGCTTTTCGTTCTAGATGCGTTCACACGCATGCCAGCCACGTCGCAATCGGTTGCGAACCTTTCTGAGTACCGAAGACCAGTCTCAGAAGACGCTAATGAAACAACGTCGTCTGCAAACAGCAACCTTCTCGACTTAACGTCTCCTATGCCGATACCCTCATCACCTTGGCACCTCCTCACTATTCTATCCATGTAAACACAAACAGGATAGGGGACAGGGTGCAGCCTTGGGGAAGACCAGTGCGAACGTTGAATGGTTTCGACTTAACGCCATTAACTCTGACACAGCACCTGCTATCTGAAGACAGTGATTGGATGGCTCTTAGCAGCTGGCCATCTATCCCGCATGCACGAAGGCATGTTCACAGACTATTGCGTGGGATACGGCCATAGGCTTTTTCTAGGTCAACAAAACACATGTACACCGGACGGAGATACTCCCACGACATCTCAGGAATCTGGCGCAGTGCAAATATATGGTCATGTATACTGTCTATATTATCTGCAGCACTGCTCTTCTTCTATCTTGGAATCAGATATTCCGCGGCACCTTCTTTCTAGCACCTTGCGTAGACTTTACCTGACAGGCTCAATAACGTTATGCCCCTATAATTGGAGCATTCCTTGTGGTCTCCGTTCTTGAATGCGGGTACCATAACTCCCGTTCTCTAGTCCGCCGGTGTCTTTCCCGCAGTCACCGCAGTTTCACAGACACATGTTAGCCAGCACATGCTT